ACACATTGTTTATATTATTCACATATCATGTCATGGGTGGGCTTTATATTACTTTACTTATCTTCTCATACCAGGAATATTCATAAAAAATACTCAATGTTTTACTTTAAGTCTATATGTCTAAAGTTGAAAATTTAGATTTTTCTCTTTTACATATAACAAATCTTAAACAGTTTCAGCCACTTCTAGGTGTTGTCACTACTTAAACAATTTCAACCACTTACTTTATTCTAGGTGTTGTCACTACTTGCAATTTTTTGCATACATTAACAACCATTTTGATACTATAACATAATTAGAAAAATATAAATCAATAATATTGGTATATATGGTTACCTTTCCATGACATGGAGCATGCGTTGATGTAGATGAATGCATCTGTGGTCTTATATCCTTTGGGGAACTATTAGCATCTCCATGAGATAATCCTATACAGTTACTTTTTAGTAAAACTTATTTACATTGCTAGTACCTTCTGAATGTACATGATAAAGACAAAAATGTTAATTAAGATTCAATCATAAATAATACAGATAACTATATATAATCCGAGTAAAAATATAGTAGATAGCTAAATTCTGATTGAATGTCTTTTATAATGCTCTTGCATATATTTGTCTATATTCAGAAGATAGTACCTGGAGAAAACTCATAAAATCTCACTGTTGTCAACTTCTTATATCAACAACAAATATGAAAATGCCCACACAAACTCAAACAACCATCAAAACACTCAGATTCAACTCAAACACTACGATACGAAATGACGATCGAAATATAAATGCAGAAATACATACAAACACACCAACATACACCCACGTCAGAAAAACATAATCAATAGCAAATTAACATCCATTCATTGAACCTTCTCACCAACATAAACCAACAACGATAAATTGTATTGAAATAAAATGAAGAGAAGTTACCAATAATGCAATTTTGAGCACGTCGTGTTGTTATGTTGCTGCTGAAGGTGTTGAGCGTTGTTGCGGATCAGAAATGGTGATGTATATAAGTTTACGGCGGTGGGATGTGGTAAGGTAGATCTAGGGTGGGGTTTTTGGAATCGAGCAGACGACGAACGAAGGAAGTTGGACGGAGTGACGAACAACACGGCGGAGGGTGTGGACGAAAGTGGTTTGAGTCAGAGCGGATGAAGGACTTGGACTTGGAGCGTCTGAGAGCGGTACTGTTAGGTTCGGCGGCGGAATGTGTGAAGAAGGAGATCGAAAGCTTTTGTTTTCCTTTTCTGTTTTTTTTCTTTTTTCTATTTTCTATTTTTTTTAAGAAGACGTGGGCAATTGTGCCATCAGTATTAATACTAATATCTATTTTCCCTTTTTTTTTACAGAAAAATATTACTTATGTGTTTTATCCTAGCTAGTTATAAAATACAAGTAATATTTAATTTAAAAATTCAGAAAAATTTTAAATTAACAATATAAATTTAAAAATATATAATAGATATATCATGATAAAATAATATATTTCCTCCGTACTAAATTAAAAATCACTTTACAAAATAAAACTATCTTGAATTATAAATCACTTTACAATTTTAATTATTACGATCTTTCATTTTGCAACATTAGTGATACTTTTAATGATATATCATTTTTCATTTATTTCTTTTTTTAATTATTTAATTTGTTGTGTAAAATAAAGGTCAATATTATAAATTCATATATAATTTCTTTTTCTCATATAAATTAACTATATTTTTTTAATTTGTATAAAATATCTAAAGTATTTTATAATTTGTATAAAATATCTAAAATATTTTATAATTTGAAACAATGAAATGAAATGCATAGCACATTATTAATAATAATTATATATTATAACAATATTTGAATTCCTCCTTTAAAATTAAAACTTTATTAATGTTATTAATGTTTCACTCTTTATTAAAAAAGATTACTTGATATATAAAGAAATATTAAATTTTTATAATGATTATATCTTTATGGTGTCCCTTAATATGAAACCAACATATATTAAATTATAATTATTATTAAAGAAGTTGCAAAAAAGTTATTAAGTTTTTAAAATAAGAAATGCGCCTAAACTATTTAGTATTATATAAATAAAGGTTGATATACGTCTTGTAGATATTATGCTTCTAGTCATGGCTTATTCAAACTCAATTGTCTTCAAATTCTCAATTATTTTAACTGTAATATTTGCATTTAAGATTAGAGACATCGCAAGAGGAGTAATAGAAATTATAGTTTGACTTAATTTTTTTGTTAAGTGTAGATACAGCATGTAATAAGATTTTATAATTTTGTGTTTTTTATTAAGTCCATGTGGATAAATACATGCTTATAATTAAATATTATTTTATAATTATGTGTTAAATTTTTTTTAATATATATATATATATATATATATATATATATATATATATATATATATATATATATATATATATATATATATATATATATATATATATATATATATATATATATATATATATATATATATTAATAATGTTTAGAGAAAAATATTTGTTTTTTAGTGTATAAGTTTTGGAGGGAAGATTGCCACCAAAAATTTGATAATGCTAAAAAAATGTATACAACATTTCAGAAATGTAGCCTTTTATTAGAACTAATGTAACAATCTAAAAATGTCCCCAAAAATATTTTAGGGGACAATTGTCAAACATTGCTAAAGAAATAATATTTTAACGCTCTAAAATCGTCTCCAAAAGCAGTTAAGGGCACAATTAACAATCGTTGGCAAAAAAATAAAAGAGTATCGCTCCATAAACGTCTCCAAAAGTATTTTAGGCGACGATTATCAAGGGTTGCAAACATATTTTTGACAACAATCGTAAATCGTTGCCTATATGAATTTAAGGCAATAATTTCTACATGTTACCTAAAAAAGTGTTGCCAGAGACAACAAATGTTGTATATTTGTTATATGCAAAAGAGAAAAATCTAAATTTTCAACTTTAGACATATAGACTTAAAGTAAAACATTGAGTATTTTTTATGAATATTCCTGGTATGAGAAGATAAGTAAAGTAATATAAAGCCCACCCATGACATGAGATGTGAAGAATATAAACAATGTGTTTTGCTCATTGGTTTAGTTTTTATTTGTGTGAGGTTTAATTCTTGTTGATGTCTTAATTGTCCTTTGGACCAAAAATATTTATGGTTGATGTGTTTTATTTTATTTTCTTATGCAGCAATGTATCAATGAAGATGTTGAAAAGGACGATATAAATGATGAAATTCAAGAGGACGACATAAGTGATAAAATTCAAGAGGACGACCTAAATGATAAAATTCAAGAGGACGACGTAGATGACGAATTTCAAGAGGACGACATAGATCTAGATGATGAATTTCAAGAGGACGATATAGATGGTGAATTTCAAGAGGACGACGTAGATGAAGAATTTATGGAGGATGACATATCTAACGAATTTCAAGAGGACGATCTGGATGATTTACTCCTAGAAGACAAACTTGAGTGAGTTGGATGATGTCTTTTTTTTGGCTTGTAGTTGAAAGCATTAAACTTGAAATATGATTTTTGTTCTTTTGTTGAACTATGTTTTTAGTTATTTTACTAAGGTCATACTTCAAAGTATTAAAAGTAATGTTACGTTAGGCATTTTGTGTACTCTATATACTATATCTTGAATTAAAGTTTGAACTCGATTTTATTATATTACAAGTTTTATGGATGTATGGTTTAAGTTATATAATCAATATTATTTTTGAAGCCAATTATTATTGACTATATTATTTTGATAATAATTGCAAAATTGTATATTTTATGTGGACACTATAAAACAACAACCTATAAGCTATGACTACACTTCAAAAACGATCTTCCTGATTCAGGTTTAAGGCAACGATTGTTAATTGTAGCCGAATTTGGCAACGCTTAAAAAACGTCGTCTCAGAGGCCGCAAATAATCGTCCCCTATTCTTTTTCTATAGGCGATGTTTTTCAAAAGCGTGCCCAAAAAACATAAAAAAATGTTGCCTCAAACAATAGGCAATGCTCGCACAGGAGACGCCTAGAAAACATCCCCTATTTGTTTAGGCAACGATTTTCAGAGTTCTGGCAACGCTTTTCAATTGTTGTTGGAGAGGCTAAATGTTGTAGTGAATTTAGTGACCGTATGTCCCTCTTTCGAATTGACCCTCAAACTCCAACGACGGTGCTACCCACTCACTAATAGTGGGATATCATTGTCTAAAGGAAATTAAGCATAGAACGATTCCTTTTTCGAGTAGGTAGATAGTTCTTAGATACTTGATCATCCAAAACAAAACTTTTTCACACTTACACTTTTACAAACAAGTTTTCAAAAACACTTCATTACACTCTTGAAGTCAGACACAAGAGTTAAATCGAAGTTAAAACAAAAACTTTTCAAAACCCACAAGCACAAAGAAAACGTTTTGAAAATGATGAGCAAGTACCTAAGAGCCCGTAGATAACTACAGATAGGAAGAGTGTTAATACCTTCTGTTTCTATAATCTACCCCCTGTACTCAGAGATAACTCGAAAAAAGAATTTTTCTGTGCTTTTTTTCTTTTCTTATTGGATAAAATAAAAGTCGGTGACGACTCTTGCTTACCGCGACATTTTACGAACACAAACGCAAAACGCAAACCAGCATTCCAAAAATAGTCAATTTTTCCCACCGTATCACACATAACTTAACACACCGATAAAGTAAGCCAAATAGAACTCAAACCAATAGAAGTATAAGAGACATCAAGAGGGAGCAACACATTTATCACTAATCAACTCCTACTCGAAGAGAAAGAAGTGGGGATTGAAAGAACAAAGGAGATTACGTTTCTTATAGAACGTAAATTCTTAACAATACAAGATAAATAGAAATGTTTAAATACTAAAAACGAAAAAGTCTAAACTATCCTAAGTGTAAAATAACATATTATCTAATAGTTATAAGGTTCAATACAAGCAAGTTTAAAAAATTTATGTGCATGTATATTCAAATTGATAGGTCTAAGTTTATATGATCGCTAGATTTCATAGAATTAGAATCTACTACGTGTTTATTTGTTGTATTTGTTGAAGAAAATTCGGTTCTTCCTTGATCACTGTGCACCACTGGAATTAACAGAGAACTGAAAGGGAATGGGAGATTTAGATATTTGGTACTCATACAATTTCCTTCTTCATTAGACATATCACTATGAAATAAGCATACACTTGACTCGGGCTCCTGCAAAATATAGAAGAACACTTATTAAGTCTCTTAAATTTAAGGATGAATTATTGATTATAATTAGCAGGGGGTGTATATTGGCCAATATTCGTAAATAATCATAATAATAATTAACTAAATTGAGATTTGCGCATGATATTGATGAATTTTTTTAAGTAGTATTAGATTATAATTAATTTTATTTAGTATAAAAAGTGTTGTAATTGAGATGGTACAATGAAGATGACAAAAAAGAGAACAAAGCTTTAAATGAAAAAATATGTTTGAATTGTAAAAATGATATTGCTATTTAATTTTCAAATGTGAAATAAGTGAAAAGAATTCAATAATTGTTTTATATTTTCTTTAATTTTTTTTCTAAGATTTTTAAAAATATTAAATTTTCATCCTTTTATAGATTTGAGACATTCTACATTCGAACAATTTGAACTCTATTTAATCAATCATCACATTCAACGTTAAGATGTAAAATGAATTTCTCTACTTCTCGAAGAATGCATTTTTAATTTTGCATTTTATTTCTTATAAAAAATAGACATGTTTAATAGATATCGTTTGGATATCAAATACTCAAATCATTGAATTATATATATCATTATATTTTGTTAAGATTGTACGAAATAGTTTATTGAAACAAACTATTTTTAATCTTTTATTCTTTGATGAATTTGTCTTTAACTAAATTTTGTAAAAACGATAAATCTTAGTTTTAAAGTATTTATGAATTTTGTGAAAATGATAAATCTTAATTTTAGATTATTTATACATTTTATGAAAATGATAAATCTTAATTTTAGAGTAATTCTTTCATTAATTTTATACGTGGTTTTTGTAAAATATTGATTAATGTGTTATACATATTTTTATTATTTAGTGTAAATCTTTTAAGTTTAATATTTTTTTTTAGGTCTTACTTTTTATATGTTCACCTAAAATCTAATATTTTTTAAATTGTTAATTACTTATTTAAATTTGTAATTTTTTTAAAAACAAAATTTGTATTATATTGACTTAAAGTATTTGACTATATTGATTAAATTTATAGAATCAATATTATCTTTCAAAAATATATTAATAATCATGAAATATATGAAAAGATTGAAAAAAATTAAAGTATTCTATAAGGTTTATAAAATTAATATGTATTAAAGTTATTAGTAATTAATTATTAAATTAATAAATATTTTGTAATTATTGGGTGTTGAACTTCTGACCTCTAGTATAGAATATGTCTTTTTAAAAAATGAAGATGAATTTTTAGAGATGCCACGTAAGAATATATTTAAAGTGACAAATTTTGATGATATAGATGATGAGGTGTCGAAGCAAGAATCTGCAATTTTGGTAGGTGTCATTGAATAGTACTCCCTCCGTCTCAAAATAAGTATCTTATTTGTAAAATAAATTTGTCTAAAAATAAGTGTTGCTTTTAGTTTCCAATGCAATTTTAGTTTTTATCTTCCAATTATATTCTCTAATTAATATTTCAAATTTATTATTTCTCTTGTCTTACATTAATAATTTGAATACACTAATAACCAACATGAATAATTTGATAAAATTGTTGTTATCTCTTTTATTTATCACATTTTTTAATTTCTGTGAAAGTGTCGAATATGACAAATATTTTGGGAGAGAATTGTTGAAATATTAAATTAGATTAGATTAGATTTGATTAGATTTAATATTTAATATAATCCAAGTTGTGTTAGCCCAAGCCCAATTAGGATTGTATATAAATAGTCATAGTGTGTATCATTATTTGTACACTTGAATAATATAAATCCTTATTTCCTTTATTATTCTCTTTTTCTCTCTTCACTAAAAGTTCATCACGCACTAACAAATTGGTATCCAGAGCTTCCGGTTATTGTTCTTGATCATGTTTTCAAGAATTTCACGCCAGAGATCATTTTTCTAGGGCAAGTAAACCAACCGCTGCGAAGATGGCTAGTGATAAGGGCATTCCAAATTCTCTTCCAATGCTTGACAGTAAAAATTGGATCCGATGGAAAAAACAGATGCAAACCTTATTTGGCTTCCATGAAACCCTAGAAGTGGTTGCCGACGGCGTTTCGATATTGGCTACAAATGCAACCGACGAACAGAAAAAAGCCCACAACAAAGTCAAGAAAAAATATTGCAAGGCTGCTTATTGCATTCAAACGGATGTCGATGCTGCTAACTTCGACAGAATCTCTCATGCTGAAACAGCGAAGGAGGCATGGGATATTCTGGTAAAGTATTTCGAAGGAGGTGAGAAAGTGAAGGTTGTCAAATTACAAACCTTGCGTCGACAATATGAGTTGTTGTCGATGGGAGAAGATGAAAAAGTTGCAGAATATGTGTCGAAGGTTCAGAAACTCGTCCATCTCATGAAGGGTTATGGTGAAACCATTACTAATAAGATGATAGTTGAGAAGGTAATGAGAACGTTGACCTCTCACTTTGATCACGTTATCGTAGCTATTCAAGAATCCAACAATCTTGAAACCACTAAAGTGGAAGATTTGGTTGGTTCGTTGGAGGCGCATGAGATGAGGATTGTTGAAAGGAAAGGAGTTCAGGACTCGATACAGGCACTGCAAGCTCAATCATGGAAAAAATATGGTGGTTCCAACAAATTCAAAGGCAAGTTCGACAAGACTCATGGCAAGAAGTCTTGGTCGAATTCCCATAAAAATAAGGTCGAAGATAGATCTTCTGAATCCTCGAAAAGGGGAGGAGGAAACTGTCTAAAGGACAAAGAAGATAAGAAAGGTATGCAGTGTTATAACTGTGAAAAGTGGGAACACTTGGTCAAGAATTGTTGGTACAGAAAAGATAAGGGATCGAAAGGTAAGGACGAAGGAGCGAACCTTGCACGCCAAGATTCAGATGATTCTGAAAGTGGTATGATGGTTATGGCTGCAGTCGCAGATAATAATGTTAAATCTAATATCTGGTTTCTTGACTCAGGTTGCTCGAACCACAAGACTGGTCGAAAGGAGTGGTTGGAAGATTTTGACGAGTCGAAGAAGAGCAAGGTAAAACTTGTTGATAATAGTTCATTACAAGGAGAAGGTACTGGCAACATAGTCTTTCAAATGAATAATGGAGGGAAAGCTATGATCAAATATGTGCTCTATGTACCTGGAATGAAATTCAACTTGTTAAGTGTTGGACAACTAGTTGAAAAAGGTTTCTCAATTGTCATGAAAGATGGAGTTTTGAAATTGTTCGACACTAAGAATAATTTGGTTTTACAATCTCCATTATCGAAGAACAGGACATTTAAGACTATGATCAGTTCGATAGAAGTTCAATGTTTGAAAACTGTTGTCGACCACAAGGATAGTTGGTTGTGGCATTTGAGGTTTGGACATTTCAATTTTCGATCACTTAATCAACTGATTACTCAAGATATGGTTACTAGTATTCCAAGTCTTGAGATGCCTGAAAAACTTTGTGAAGGTTGTTTAGTGGGAAAGCAATCCAGAAATTATTTCGTTTCGACTATGTCAATGAGATCATCCTACATTCTCGAAGTGGTGCATTCAGATGTATGTGGTCCATTTGAAGAACATAGAATTGGTGGAAATATATATTTTGTTTCCTTTGTCGATGAGTTTAGTTGAAAGCTGTGGATCTATGTGATCAAACGAAAGGACGAAGTATTCAAAATCTTTAAGAGATTCAAGATACTTGTCGAAAACCAGAGTGAGAAGAAGATCAAAGTTCTACGAACAGATGGAGGTGGCGAATACACATTCAAGATGTTTGAAGATTTCTATGCAGAACTTGGTGTTGATCATGAGGTAACTGCTCCTTACACACCTCAACATAATAGAATTGTTGAAAGAAGAAATAGAACCATATTAGATATGGAAAGATGCATGCTAAAGCAAAAGAATTTGCCAAAATCTTTATGGGGAGAAGCTGTTTCGACTGCAGTTTATATTTTGAATAGGTGTCCTACTAAGATATTGAAGAACAAGGTTCCTGAAGAAGTATGGAGTGGCAAACGACCATCAGTAAGTCACTTGAAGGTGTTTGGCTCTATGTGTTACAAGCATGTTCCTAATGCAAGGAGAAGGAAGCTTGATGACAAGAGTGAACCTATGATTCTGGTAGGATATCATAAAACTGGTGCATACAGACTATTCAATCCAGTTAATGAAAAGATTGTGTTGAGTCGAGATATTGTGATTAATGAAAATTATGACTGGGATTGGAATTCTAGCAATTCAATTAACAAATCATTAATGAACTTTGATTTCGACGAAGAAACTAATGAAGTATAGGTCAAGGAATTATTGAGAATCTAGTCGAAGTCGAAGAAGAAGCGGTTGCTGACACTCCCGTCATAGTCGAAGTCGAAGAGGTTGTGGCTGAAACAAGCCAAAGACCTCAAAGAAATAGATTTCTTCCAACAAGACTTCATGATTATGAAGTGATGGGTGATGATGAAATCACACCAGATGGAGAATTAGTTCATTTTGCTTTACTTGCAGATGCTGAACCAATCAACTATAGCGAAGCTTTGAAGATTAACAAGTGGAAGTTAGCTATGGTCGAAGAGTTACAGGCAATCGAAAGAAATAACACATAGGAGTTAGTCGAATTGCCAACACATACAAAAGCTATCGAAGTAAAGTGGGTGTTCAAGTTGAAACACAATGCAGATGGGTCAATAGCAAGACATAAAGCAAGATTAGTAGCTCGAGGTTTTCTTCAAAGAGCAGGACTTGACTACTCAGAAGTATTTGCTCCAGTAGTAAGATTAGAGACTGTTCGACTAGTAGTAGCATTGACATGCAACCAAGGCTGGTCAACATTTCATCTAGATGTGAAATCAGCATTTTTGAATGGTCCTTTAGACGAAGAAGTTTATATAACACAACCTCTTGGGTTTGTGATTCAGAAGGAAGCGAGTAAAGTATATAGATTGCACAAAGCGCTCTATGGCCTCAAGCAGGCACCTAGGGCATGGAACAAGAAGATCGACTCATACTTAGTCGAATTAGGATTTGTCAAATGCAAATCAGAGTATGGTGTCTATGTTCAGGTTTTAGAACAAGATATAACAATCATCTGCTTGTATGTTGATGACTTGCTAGTAATTGGAAATAGGTTGGAGAACTTGTCGAAGTTCAAAGAGCTGATGACGAAGGAATTTGAAATGTCAGATCTAGGAAAATTGTCTTATTTTCTAGGCAAGGAATTTCAAATGTCGAAGCAAGGTATGTTGCTACATCAAAGAAAGTATGTCAAAGAAATACTCAAGAGATTCAGAATGGATGATTCGAATCCTGCATCCTCACCTATCGAATCAAATGTGAAGTTGGAGAAGAATGGAGAGGAAGACAAAGTCGATGCAACTTTGTTCAAGCAAATTGTGGGATCTCTGAGGTATGTGTGCAATAGTCGACCTGATATAGGTTTCGCAGTCGGATTAGTAAGCAGATATATGGGTGAACCAAGAGTGTCACATATGAAGGCTGCAAGAAGAATCCTTCGATATTTGAAGGGTTCAATAAACTATGGAATACTATTTCGACGAGATTCTGAAGGCAAAGAAGCAATAGTTAATTGTTTTTCAGATGCTGATTGGTGTGGAGATAAGGAAGATCTAAGAAGCACAACTGGATATTTCTTTCAAGTATTTGGTGCCCCAATCTCATGGTGTTCGAAGAAGCAACCTGTGGTGGCATTGTCATCGTGTGAAGCTGAATATATAGCGGGATCCTATGCTGCATGTCAAGCAATTTGGATCAGATCTGTACTTGAAGAAATGACTGTCGAAGTGAAGAAACCTCTAGTATTGCAAATCAACAACAAGTCAGCCATAAACCTGGCGAAGAATCCAGTTCTGCATGGAAGAAGTAAACATATTGAAGCAAGGTTTCACTTCTTGAGGGAAAAAGTAAATCAAGGTGAACTTGAAGTTAGGCATTGCTCAAGTGAAACACAGTTGGCCGACAGATTCCTGAATTTGAGAAAGAAATTAGGAATAGTTCAGATTGACTATTTTTGAGGATGTTCGACAATTTGAATTATGGAGGTGTGTTGAAATATTAAATTAGATTAGATTAAATTTGATTAGATTTAATATTTAATATAATCCAAGTTGTGTTAGCCCAAACCCAATTAGGGTTGTATATAAATAGTCATAGTGTGTATCATTATTTGTACACTTGAATAATACAAATCCTTATTTCTTTTATTATTTCTCTGTTTCTCTCCTCACTAAAAGTGTCTCACGCACTAACAAGAGTATGATACATTGAATTTAATAGATTAATAAATAGTTAATGTATGCATTTAGAAGTTTAAAGAAACATTAAACTAGATATCATTTTTATAATTATCTTGTAAGTGCAGTTCGAAAAAGTAAAAAATGGCAAAGACATTTAATATAATAATAAAGTGTTTGATCCAAATTCACAATATCTCCCTTCTGTTTGTTAGAATTTTTTTCATGAATGTTTATTATGTTTTTAGTCTCTATAAAACTATCAAGTTTTTTTTGTTCCAATACTATTTTTTTAGTTCACAGTTATATTACAAGTGTTTAATTATATCCTCTATATTTTAGATTTTTCAAACATACTTTGAATATTATAAAAATTTCTTCAACAAATGTTTAATTTTTTAACACGATTAGACTTTAAAGCTAAAAATCATTTTTTTATAAAAGAACAGCGAATGTGATTAGACACTAACATTTGTATAAAACTGCTTAATTTATACTATTATTACATATAAATTACATAAATAAAATCCTTTTCATTAAGGAACTTATATAAAAAATTTATCTATTGTACGATAAAAATACAGCAGTTACTTTTAAGTATTAAGGTTTTTGATATGGACTAATCTAAGGAGGAAGGTACTCAGGAGGGTTTTCCATTGGTAAAGAGACGTGGAGTCCTTTGCCTAATTCATGGTCAGCTTTAGAGAGAGATGTTTGAATTATTTCAAGAGTTAGGTAGAGATTAGAGGGTAGCTCTAGGTTTAGGTTTAGATTTAATTTCTATCTTGATTGTGATTTAAAGTTTTTTTACATAGATTAAAGATTATAATAATATTGTCATAATATATTACACTTTTATAAAATTAAATTTATTAATATATTAGAAATTGTATAGAGAATAAAAAATAAAAAATATAATTGAAAAATTAACAATTATTATTATATTAAAAAATGAAAATGATAATTATTTTAAAATAAATTTTATTTGATAAAATGACAATCATTTAAAATAGAAGAAATAATGTTTTGAACCGTTTTGAACATGCATAATAATGTAATTTTTGGTGATTCATGTTTTTGTCTCTCAATTTTGTGGTTGTCATTTGTCTGAAGTATTTTTTGTGTCACCATTGTCTTTACTTTTTTTTCTTCTTTTAGATAGTATTTCTAATACTCCTTGTATATTCCATTAAAAAAACATATTATTGTATATTCCACTAAAAAACATATTGACATAATGTTTATATTGTTAATCTTTTATATATTTATTGTATGCTAATTCTAAATAATTATTTCAAAAAGAAAAATATTTGCATAAAAATGAAAATAACACTAATTTTACAAAAAAATAATCATAATATTTTATTAATTAAAAATAAGAATAAAATTTTCTCTATCACCTCATAATTTCAATTAAAAAAAATAAATTTAAACAAATTTCTCTTCATATTAGTTATTTTTAAAAAGAAGAAAACTTAAATACAATTTTTTAAGTGTGTTTCTTACGATTTTTTAATTAAAATATGACAAATATACTTACATATAATTTAAAGAGTGAAAATAAGATAAAATTGGACATGCGTAAGAAAAAATTATATATTTATTATATTTTTATTTATAATTAAGAAAAAACACACCTAAAAAATTATAACTAAATTCTCTCCTTCTAAAAATATGGATATAGGTGTTTTCCTATCCAGGTATTTCTTTTTGAAGTGTCACATATAGACAATTATTTTTTATTTATAAACAAAGTGATAATAACTAAAAATCTTACTACTACAATTGTAAGATATTATGTTGAGTTTAATAATATGTGGTGTTGGTTGAGTTAGGGTTTTGAGACTGTTAAAGCTAATTATTTGATGCTTCAATACTTATTTTATTTTTATTTGATTTTATACTTAAATTCTCCAAAACTTTGAACTACTAAGATATAATAAACGTGTTTTCCTGTTCAAAAATGAGAAACAAAAGATGTAATGTCAATGAAATTATAACATTACCTGATTTAGATCATAACGACCAGTTTCACTTGTTTGTGAAAGTCCTCTATTATATAAAGGATGAAACTCTTCAATGATATCCTTTGATCTGAAGGGAAATTAAATAATATATAAAGAGTTAAGAACATAATATAATAAAATAAATATATCTCATTACTTATTCTAAGTACAAAAATATGACCGAATTTGAGTTGAACAAAATAGTTTGACAATAGCTTAAAAATTGAGTCATAAAAAGTTAGAAAATGAAAATTACCTTTGGGGTGAAGAAGTGGAGCAATGATTGAATTGTGAATTTTCTTCAAGTATGATCTCTCTCTTCACGTTCCTGTACATCTAAGAACCAACCACCATGCAAATACAAATTTAGCACTTACACAAGTTACGAGTGTAACACATATTTTTACCAAAAGAAGAATGTAACACATGTACGTAATCATGGTGAAGACTAATTATCAGCCTTTAAAATGAACAAAAGTGTCGTGTAGAATCGATTTTCAAGTATTTATAAAAGCAATTAAATAAAAAAGCAATTCTCTTTCTCTAAAGCATACACAGCCGTGTGCTTTTCTATCTCAAAAAGCAACCTAAAACACGTTTGATTTTATAGATCCTGACGACACAAAAAAAGGAATTTCATCTCTCTTTTTACTTTTTCTTAAAAAAAAATCACATTATATACAATGCCCATACACCTAACCTAGATGCTAATTAATTTCCAATTTCATTATTATTTTTTATCCAATAGCTTAATATAAAGATAAATAAATGAGACTTCACAAGTTTAAATCTAACATATGAATAAATGAGATGTCGCAAGTCTGATGTATCTGCACAGCTTAGATATATATAGCATGCATAAAATAATTTTGAATAAATGAGATGTTATTTTCTTTCATGATGTCAAAAAGGTTAACAAGAAAAGTAACAACTTAGAGAAGTGGTGTTGATAATGGCGTAACAGATATGACTCTCGAAGAAATTTTGTCATCAAAAATGAAAAGTAAAAGGAAGATAATCATCAATGAGTGTGAGATATACATGGGAATTGTGAAAAGTTCAAAAATCATTGTTTCCACATACTTTAATACTTTACTGTTGTTGTTTTTTTGTTTGAGCAGTATAATTTGTACGTGGCTACTGCAAAAATAGCCTAAACTGGATTTTGTTTCTTCAGTCCCATGATTTCATTATCAAAAGAAAGAGAATTTTCCATAATATTTGCGAGAGGAAAAAACATCTCAAGTTTTTGAATGCTATCTGTATATTAATCGCAGTCTAACCATGATGATAATACAATTTAACATTTTAACAATATTTTAAATATTAATCTATTTAATCACGTTTAAGCGTGAAAATATTTAGGTTCTGTGTAATATTTCGTCTTACACGCTTTCAAAGACAGTCATGGTAAGAGGATGGATTTAAATATAAAATTCTACATAAAATATTCTACACACACATATTACCTGAAGATGACTTTTAATGTGAGAGATTCTGAGTCCCTTCACTTGCATGATATTCAAAATGTGTTTTGGACTTGCCTCTACAAAATGAGATAATTTGTAAAAATGATTAGAAGTAGAATAACAAATAATCTCTTCAATATATTTGATTTGCCCTATGATGAAGATGAAGGAGAAGTGCTTACTGTGTTTTCCACCAAGACTTTCAACAGTTTGAACAAAGTATTGATGAAGTTCCGGAGTCCATCGAAGGCGTGGCTGTTCTGATTTATGATACTTTCTTACACCACTTCTCTTTGAAATATTATTCTTCATTTTCTCAAACTTCAAGTTAACGAGGTTTTTATGAGATTTGATGATGCAGCAGCAGTTAGAGAAGCTTATATGGAAAGACTATATGTGTATATATAGATAAGATGTTTTGTGTAGTCTATAGACAAATAAATGCCGCAGCAATCATAGAATGTTTTAAGGTCAATGACTTTTTATTTCAGAAAACTCAAATTATTGTTGAAACATATACTTTTCATATATTCTTTCTATGATTTGTCTTATTCTTTTATTTCTTATAAAGTTTTATACTCTCTCTCTCTCTGTTGGCCGTTTGAACATTCTATGTGTTAATTTCTACCTTTTTGAAAAATGAACAGTGTATTTGAAAATAACATGTACAAAACAATTATGTCTTTCATATACTACTATAACATATCAGGATTATAAGATTGAAGTTTTCTAGTTTTTTTTTTCTTCTTTTTAAGTTATATAATAGAAATTCCTTTCAAAAGATGTCAAAGTATGATTAAATGAATTGAAGTTTGTTTAAAGAAAAAAAAATTTTAAAAGAAAATGCACTTGACAAAGTCGAGGTTTATTATGAAGCGATTCGAGTTTATAAACAAATAAGGTTTTGAAAATAGATTATAAGATTTTGGAAATTAAAGAACGGGAGAGGTGATGAAGAGAATATCTCGTGTGCAGGAAGATAAAAGGTAAAGGTATAGAGGAACGACTAACACAATAAGTCAATGCTTGACATAGAAAGTCAACAGAGAATTCTCATCCTTTGGATTTAAAGTCACGAGCAGATAAATAAGCCAAGAGTATACTAAATCTCAGGTGAAAATAAATCACAAGCCGACAGCACCAAAGAAACCCAAATGTCAGATAATGCTCAAAGCATCAGATAAAGCGCATCGAATCATGTGCAAGGAGCGCAACACATGAAAATAAATCACAGACGAAGAAAGTGTAGATAATAAGATGAATCAAATAAAGCGCAAAGGCGACGGATAAAGCTCATGATATCGAATAAAGCTCGAGATATTGAATAAGGCTCACGGTATTGGATAAGAATCCCTGCATCACATGAAATATACAGACAAGTCCAACAACACAGGGAAACTTATTCGAAATCTTAAATAAAGCTCCAGTGTAAATTACAAGACCAGGATCAAATAAATCGAAAGTTACTAAACATTTCACTTTATTAAAAAAAAAATTATAATAGATTCATGTAGGAATCAACTCTAAGTGGTCGGACAAAAATATATACGTCCGTACGATTTTCAAAAGTTAACTTGAATTAAAGTTTAAAATCGCGACACAATGAAAAGAATATCAACACAACTTGAATTTATTTACAAGTGAATTGAATAAAATATAAAATCGAAAGTGTTATGTATAAATATTTATTTACATTATGAAATATTAAATCAAAATAGTAAAATAAAAATACAATAAAAAAGGAAATAAGAAAGTGTAGATCTGCTAAGAGAAAATGAATGCTTGAACAATTCTTGAAAGCCTTCACAATAACAAACCCGTTAGTAGCATAAGAGGGATAAAAAATGAAACCAAATGAAATTGCAAAAATTAAAACATGTGATAGTAATCACAAAGTATATAAATCGAAATGAACTTGTATGATACACATGAACAAATGAATATTCTTCAATTAAGAACCAAAGAACCAAGTTAATACTTAATGTAAATACAAAAATCAACATTGAATTCTGAATACATTTAAACTCTAAACGCAAGGGTGAACATGGTCATCAATTCATAAATGAGAACAAAACTCAAGAACTCATGCTATAATTAAATTTTAACTTCAAACATGGAAAATTGAGTTTGCAACAAGCTATAACCAAACAAAACAAAATCCGGGCAGCCACCAACACATATGTAATTAGCTTCACAAAATTCACCTCAAACGCTTTTAACTCAAATAGAAATAACATAGTAATACCACCCGAATTAACTCTTGAATTCAAACTCGAATTGTCACTAAAATACTATTCAAATCTTTTTTAAAAGAAACACACAAGCATGACACAAACTAAATTCAACTCAATAATAAGATCAAGAAATTTGTATCACCATCACAAACATTTGAAATTGGTCCAAGTAAACAAACATCAACATCAAAGATTAACACAAATGGTTTTAACATTAACAAACAAATCACATACCAACATCAATGATTATCACAAGTTAACACAACCAACATTTAATTGGAATTAAAACTTCCATCAACTATGAATCACAACTTCAAATAGGATTACAACTTCAACTTAAATTAGTTTTAACCTTGACAATGAGCCTACAATCTTAACAATGTCACAATTCTTATATCAATTTAAACCCAAATAAATCAACAAAAAAAAATTCGATTCATTCATATTGGCAAAATCATGATCAACCTAGGACTAAATCACACAACATATATGAAACCCTTTTTAATCCTAAAAGTATACCTTCAGGGTTTATCATATATTTATCTACAGCATAACAAAAGTAATTCACTCATCAAACAACCACTCTCACAACATCACAGTGGAAAAAAATATCAAAATCTTACAGAACAAATGCGACGTCGCTGGTTGAAGTAATTGAGGAATGTTGGAAGTAGCTTACATGTTACAGTGTTGATGATGATTGTTGTACCCAAAAATTTTCCCTCCCATATTTCTCAATACATTTCAAGTGAGGTCCTCAAACTGCTCAAGGTAGTCCAAGGGTTGACCAGACAAACTCTCTCCTAAGGCAGTCTACCTCAAATTAGGGTTTCATTTTTCACCAAGATGTTTGAGTACCAAGGATCCCAAATTCTCACCATTGTCCTAATATGTTCTCAAGATCATCCATGTCAAGTTTCAAGCCTTGCAGAGGAGGTTTGCTCAGTCAATTGCTCAAAGGCCAGAAAATCGACTGTGCTAGGGCAAAAGTCAACTGTGGTCCACATATAGTCAAACTTCAAGATTTTTGGTCAACATCCTCATTTTTAAGTATTATTCATCGTTTTATCAATGGTTGATCATTATTCCTCAAGGATTGCTCACAATTCATCAAAACCCAAAAATTGCTAAATTAGAGTTTTGTAGGAAAAGTCAACTCAACTTTGACCGAGCATAACTTTCTCATACTTTATCAAAAATGACCCATCCAAATCTCATTTTGAATAGAATGTAATTCCCTACAATTAATATTCATATTACAAATTCAAAATATGCACTCACAAGAAAATATAAATTGGGACATTATAGGTCATTTTGAAAAGTCAACAAAAACACCTTTTTTGTCAAAGCTTCATACATGAACATGGAACACTCAATTGAGATGAGACCAAAAGTTTTGCTTAGAGGACATCTCACGCTTTCTAAAAAGTCCAAGAAAACATCTCTAGGGTCAAAATTGAAGGAGTTATGCATTGGCAAAGTTGACCTTTTTTACAAAATTGCCAAAAGTCAAAAGTGGCCAAAATTGAAATTTTTGTCAAATGGGCCCAACTTTTTGTGCTTGCATTGAGTTTGTAACATGACCCAAGACCCATGATCCTTCCCACTTATCTTTATTTTTTTTCCATTTATTTTAATTTTATTTCAATTAAATCAAATAAAATCAAAATAAAATCATGAAAATATCAAAACTAATCAAAGCTTGAGATTTTGTGCATGTTTAGGTCTCTTATACAACTGGGAAGATAATCAAATCGTGCAAGCTTCAAATGTACACAAAAAGATTGGATTTTGGCTTGATTTGGAAAGATTTACATGAGAATCAAATCATGATTCAACCATCTTAATTGAGAAAGATTTGAAGCAAGTTTGTGACCTAATTTATTCTAGAGTACATACAGAGAATTTGCATATCAAAAACGAGAGGATTGGAGGCGTGAGAAGCTGAAAGAAAACTTGCAAAAAATCAACAAAGGTGGCGAATCAAATTCCAATTTCCAAGCAATCTCAATCCTTTCCAACCATCCCAATCGCTTGCTGGATATCTCTGGGTCATATTGCAATCATTAACAAGCTTCATAACATCCTAATATGCATTGTAAGCATCTCACGACATTGATACTTTCTTGAAATCGAATATCACGATTCTGGCATTTGTAGCATGATTTCTTTACATATTCTTGTTCATTGAATCATTTGCAAGCTATTGGTTATGTTCAATTGTATTTTTATTAACTGTAGCGCAAGATGCCATAGTTAGGGTTCTTGGCTCGTTTTTGGGGTTTTTTTGTTACAGGTACAATTGGCCATGGAAAGTGGTACCATGATGCTCGTGAGGTTGTCACGAGTTGATTGGTACCATTGTTATGCATTTATCATTCTTGCATAGAGTTTTAGAGAATCACAGGGTTGTACCAACGCCCTTTTGTCCGTAGGTAAAAGTTTCCAAACTTTTAGCAACGGAAGGAGGTAGAAGATGATGGCGTGGCGTGGTGTGAATGGCCCATTCAAACTCCGCGCGTTTTAATATATTATTTTGCCTTTTTCCAATATAATATTTGATTGTTATCCCATATAAAAACATGCACGCTAGCTCAGTTGGTCAGGAGGCGCTTGGAAAAGCCAAAGAGCCTGGGTTCGAATCCTAGGTCCCTCATATTATTTCATGATTTTGTTTCTTACATAATCAGGCACAGGTGCATACAGTGAGACCACCATACGTCATCATCCATCAACCATCAGATCGTCCACGCGCTAGATCTAAGGATTCACAATGAAGGCCTACCATGAACATCAGTCAAGCTTGCAGTATTGGATCTGGAAAGTCAACATGGGCTAAGGATTATTGGGCCTAGAAGTCAGATTCAAACCCCTCTCCATTGCTACTAACATCAGGCCCATTTCTTTATTTTTCTTTTCTATTTCTTTATTTAATTTATTTTGATTAATTATTTTTCTAACATAAAATTAATTCTTTTTTACAAAAACTCATAAAATCAATTTTCAACAATTTAGATTTAGGTTTTATTTTTATCAAATTTAATTTAATAATTACTTTAATTTAATTTTAGGGTAATT